CATTTTGCATATACTACAAAAATCAATTGTTGTTATATTTTTCCTATCCCACAGCCCGAACTGAAGATTCCGAGCCAAATCAGAGCCAACGCCGGACTAATGGGTGGTGCCAGCCTCATCAATAAAGACATTTAGAACCACAAAATGGCAAAAAGCAAACATTTATAACAGAAACACTGCGAAAACGCATGAGAACCTCTCCCCCAATCACTAACATGCTTCGTTCACGTGCATCTATTTATTACCATATTACTGCCAGTAAATGCTCCGTTGAATCCACTTTCGAACCTCTTCGGTTTTGCGATCATTATTTGTAAAACTACTTGAAGGAGAATCAAGCTGGTTTATTACGATCAAAATAATATTAAAACACCAGGAAAGAAAAATTTCGAATTAATGTGTTGATTACCTTGCAGCTGTATTTAATTGGTGGCGGTTGGTAAAAAAGAAACCACGCGTGATATAATTAAAGAAACATATATATATGTGTGTGAAAACTCTCCCTGGGAGGAGCATTATAGTTAGGTCTTCATACTGATGCCAACTTCAAAAGGTATACAAACATTCAAAGCAGAAAAAAGAATTGTAAAAGAATCAGAACAAGTAAAGACTTCAAAACGTTGCGTGCTTCAAATTTTTTGCACACATGATAAAGGATCAAGGTTCAATAATCACAACAAACCATACTGTTTCTCTGAGGCAACATCGTAGGATGTGATTGGACCGCGTCTCAGTGGCGCCTGTACTAAACACGTTTATTTTTTCAGCAAGTGAAATACTGAGGAGAAAGATACCAACTCTGCATTAAAGAAACAAGTTTGACAGTTTGTTAGGTTTTTGTAACGGCTTCACACGGTTCTCAGTGTTCTCAGTTCATACATAATGTAAAGGAAGAAAAAAAAAAGGAGACCCGGGCCCTTCGTGGAAATCTAGTAGTCCGCCATCAAAATTAAATGATGCAGCTGAATACACAGTAATGCCTCAAGGGAAATAACATGGGAAGTCATTAAAATCAATTTTTATCATAATGACCATCGATCTGGCGAAGTTTTCATATCTTCTTTCAGTAAGTGCAAACTTTATGATCGCCGTTACCACGAAAAGTTTAACGTTCCAAAAACAGAGATTTCATTTTCAATTTTGCGTGTTAATTAGAGAGGAAACAGTTGGAGTCAATTCATCATGTCGAAGTCATTTTGAGGAATTGTAATAAAGTGGTCTTTTCCGTTGGAGTTGGACGCTTACTTGCTGTAATGGTTGCACAATTTAGGCCTGTTTGAAAGAAAAAGTTACATTTCATTGTTATTGGCGTGCAGTGACTTAACGACTTTTGTTGACAACTATATTTAAGATATTAAAACTGATGATACGCACTGCAAGTCCCATACAACGAAGTATTAATTCGTATTTAAGTTCCGTCTAGATAATGAAAAAAATGGGCTCTTTAGTTATTTACTCTCAACCTTGTTGGTCTCCATGGATACAAAATATGACTGTGTATTAACAATATAGCTTGCGCTCTTCAACATCCGCTTATGATGTAGCTATCTGTGTCAATGGCTTTTTCCTTTCTCGTATAATGTCACGTATCCACCGTCTACGTGATCTTCTTCATTAAACAACTTTTTTTCGTAAAATACCGAATTTTACCGTATGTTTCTGGTTTTTAATTCCTTACTTGCCCAATTGGTTTGTTAGCGGAATGTTTTCCAAGGCGAAAACAATAACAAATCACAAGCATTTTATTTCGGTAGCAACGGGCCGATTGTAAGAAACATAACAATATCGGTGAAAGGCAACCATTATGTTTTGGAGAATAACAATTTCAAATAAAGCTGTTTGGTGAAAAGAGTAAACATATTTATCAAATCCGAGGCACGAGTTCGGTTAACCGTCCTGAGCAGACACATTTATTGAAAGAGTTTCACGGTAAAACATCAAAATATACGAGCGCATGCTCTGCGGAATTTATGGCATGGCTCTCTTGTTGTTATTTATCTCGTGAATCGAGCATTCGAGTGATTCTAAATTTAAGAAACGAGAGATGATAATATCAAATAGCTCAGTGAACTTGGTTGAGTCCCGAGGTTGCATGACAATATCAATGGTTTTTTGACATGTGTGAGTCCGAAATATAAATTGTAAAGTAGAGAACGAATGCATTAGTACGACGAAGACTCTGCGGAAGCAGGATCCACGAGACAAAAAATGATTACCAGAATTATATTTCTGCTGTGTTTCGTAACTCTTTTGCAGCCAGTTTGGGATCTTCCTTTACCACGACCAGACGGTAAGAATTTGATTTTTCTTTTAATTATTCATCTTCAATTTTTTAGCGCATTGTTGAGTGTCTTTCTTTTTATATATTCTAATTCTAAAATAGCATTTAAGTTACTTGTTTTTTTGTGTGTTTTTTTTCTCGTACATCAAGAACGCTACGGCCTTCTAGGGGACGCAATTGCTGCAATGATAAAAACGGTGTTCCTTTAGCGATTTTAACCTCGCTGGAAAAAGATGTATTCGGTTCCCATTTTTTGCTGTCCTTAAGTTCCTTAGGACTAAGAGCTTCAAACGGCCCGTGAAATGCTCAGCTGCGGAACTGCTCAGTTTTATAAAAACGCCAGATTTTTTATTTCTTTTTCTTTTCTTTTATTTTATTTTATTTTATTTTTTTCAGGCTTTATTTTTACAACTTCTTAAGTCTTGGATATAACTCTGATGATCAACCACGTGTTCCTATAACGCTTTTCATATTCGATTCAAAGATGGGTTATTGCTTTAATTGCTTTTTCCTCGTTCGAGCCCTAATTTATAGCGCCATGCATAATGTTGTCTAACTGTCGGACATGCTTCAGCACTAGTGCTTTTTTTTTCCTACTTAAGAAATAGAAAACATGTACCATTTTTCTATCGAGTTATAGAAACACGAGTGGAAGTTTGGGAGAACGAGAAATACTGCGAGAACACAATTTGCAGGCGAGTGTTTCAACAGCTTTTTCGAGTTATCCCAAACTTTCACAGGGAGAACATGTTTTCTATTTCTTTTAGAAAACACCGCGACGACAAAAAGGAAAACAACTTTGATTATCAAAATGTAAATTCTCTTTGCATGCGCCATCATTACGTCAACAGCTCGTTCTAGTTCTGTGTTTCTATCGAGTTATAGAAACGCGACTTTTAACAAATCAGCGCTCGTATTTTCTTAGGACTTTTTTTCTAAATAACTATAGCAGGTGCTTTAATCTTACTATACTTTGATGTAAGGTCCATAAGTCTTCAATAAACAAAATAAAGCAGGCTCATGCTCTTCTTTTTTCGCCAAAGGGATGTCACTGGGATACATTTGCTGATAAAAACGCTCCGAACAGTAATGAAACCACTTAAAAATGAAATAAAAATTAACGTCTTAATATTTGTCGTTTTTTAGAGGGGATTAAACCCGATGGAGATGACACTGAAACAACTGAAGTGCGTAGTGAAGAGGTTAGCATTAATACTGTCAGCGATGAAGTTGATGCAGATGATGACTCTGATGACGGAGGTAAGACAAACATTTCATTTCCTTGTAATATGATGGTTAGATATCTAAAGGGATAAAGCCTGAGGAAAATCATTTCAAAAAATTCATCTCCGTGATTTATACCCTTCTGGATGTTAACCGTGATCGAATGGAATCGATTCATTTTAGATCGACGACAAATATCGGTGTAGAAGATAGAGTTAATTTTATTTTGCAGAGTTAAATATTTTTTATTGCTGTCAATATTGAGCGTGCCACCTCCTTAACGATTGCACTTTTTATTACGATTACACTTTTCATTACAAAATGTATAAAAATGGACCATTCTCCTTGGGAATTTTGATTTACTGAAAGTTGAAAGAAGTTAGCTCAAAGCAATTTCGTCTTTGAGATTAGTGATATCACCTAAATGTGAAGAGCAGTATAATATCAGATATCTGTTGACCACCACGAGTGCTATATAGGACATTAACGAATTCCCCCCATTCTGACTCGTCAGTTCAAAGCTGGATTTTGATAAAAAAAAAAAAAAAAAAAAAAACACTTAGAATAATTATCCCTTAATTGGAGAACCAATTCGCACCTGCTCTGTATTTACTTTATAACATGCTCGAGATCTAGGGCATTACACGAAACTCCATGTGGGATTTTTTCGAAACTGTTTCGTGAAAACCCGCGATCGACTTCGGCAGAAGTACAGTATATTTTCCGGTGAAAAGAAGGAAAAGTGCTCGTTAATTGTTCCGATAATTAGTGTGAATTAGATCAAAGGTTCAAGAGCTCCGACTAGATATAATCAGCATAATGAAAGCAATTTGTTTAATATTGTTTTCTAAACCCAAATAATCCTTTGTCAAAAATAGGGCAAACAAGGGGTATTTTCCAGAGCTGCATGCTAAATCAACTAAATCGAACTAAAATGTGCATTCTTCCTAAGATATAAGAAAAAATAAATTGTTTGAACTTTTGCAACATCACATTAGCCCTGATAAGTATCTCCTCTTGGATTTGAATCAGGACCAGGTTTTCAACGACCAAACTTCCTGTTTACATACTGTTAGAATCAATCAAATAAGAAAGTCCTTTAACTTATGATTAAAGAGGAATCGTTTTTACACATGTTGAAACACAAATGACGAAAAAGAAACTAGAGAGATTTTACTAAAACCTTTAACGTTAATTTCTTGGCTTTGCCCGTCATGCCCTTGGAGAAGAACATCAAGCTCTCTATTGCTTTCCTTCCACTCCGTTGATTTAAAAAGTTCCTTCAAAAATGACAAAATATAAAAATAAGTTAATGCATACCTAATAGGCAAAAAAATAAACAACAATTAAGTATCTAACCCGAATACGAAAACGACCGTTTTCCAAAATTTTAACACGTCACATACTCTTGAAATGGGATATCAAGCAAAATAAATTAAAAATAAGTGACTGGTCTTCAAAAGTAATTATTGTTAAACAATTTGAAAAATATGTTTTATTTAGATCTAGAAAGTAACGAAGACAGCGACAAAGAAGACAGTGATGATGACGACGGAGATGACACTAGCGAAGACAATGATGAAGACAATGTAGAAGACAGTGAGGAAGACAGGGATGATGAAGATGATGGAGATGACATTGACGAAGATAGCGACAAAGAGGATGAAGGCGATGAAGGAGACGATGAAGACGACAGTGGTGAAGAAGATGATGACAATGAAGATGACAGTGGCGTAGATGACGATGATGACGATGGTGATGACAGTGGCGAGGACGATGATAATGACGATGAAGATGACAGCGGCGAAGAAGATGATGACGATGAAGATGACAGTGGCGTAGATGGCGATGATGACGATGGGGATGACAGTGGCGAGGACGATGATAATGACGATGATAATGACAGTGAAGAAGACAACGACGATGATGATGAAGACGACAGTGGCGAAGATAATGATGATGATGATGATGACGATAGCGAAGACAGTGGCGAGGACGGTGATGACGATGAAAATGATAGTGGCGACGACGACAATGATGACGACGACGATGAGGACGACGACGAAGATGATAGCGGTGGAGAAGACGATGATGAAAATGAAGATGATAGTGGCGAAGACGACGAAGATGACGATGGAGGTGACAGTGGTGAAGATAATGATGATGATGATGATAATGATAACGATGAAGATGATAGTGGCGAAGATGACGATGATGAGGATGGAAATGACAGTGGCGACGATGAGGCTGATGATAACGATGATGATGACAGTAACAAAGATGACGATGATGACGATGAAGATGACAGTGGCGAAGATGACGATGATGGCGATGAAGATGACAGTGGCGAAGGTGATGATGATGACGATGAAGCTGAAAGTGGCGAGGATGATGATGACGGTGATGACGATGGAGACGAAAGTGCCGAAGACGACGACGATGGCAATGAAGGTGACAGTGGTGAAGATGATGATAGTGACGATGAAGATGACAGTGGTGAAGATGATGATGATGACAATGAAGATGACAGTGGCGAAGATGACGATGATGGCGATGAAGGAGACAGTGGTGAAGATGACGATGATGACGATGACAGTGGCGAAGATGACGATGATGACGATGAAGACAGTGGCGAGGGTGATGATGATGACGATGATGACGATAAAGACGAAAACGGCGAAGATGATGATAACGATGATGAAGATGGAGATGAAAGTGCCGAAGACGACGACGATGGTGATGAAGGTGACAGTGGTGAGGATGACGATGATGACGATGAAGATGACAGTGGTGAAGATGGCGATGTTGACGATGAAGAGGATGGTGTCGAAGATGACGATGATGACGATGAAGATGACAACGGGGAAGATGCAAGTGATGACGATGAAGACGACAGTGGCGAAGACGACGACGATGGCAATGAAGGTGACAGTGGTGAAGATGATGATAGTGACGATGAAGATGACAGTGGTGAAGATGATGATGATGACAATGAAGATGACAGTGGCGAAGATGACGATGATGGCGATGAAGGAGACAGTGGTGAAGATGACGATGATGACGATGACAGTGGCGAAGATGACGATGATGACGATGAAGACAGTGGCGAGGGTGATGATGATGACGATGATGACGATAAAGACGAAAACGGCGAAGATGATGATAACGATGATGAAGATGGAGATGAAAGTGCCGAAGACGACGACGATGGTGATGAAGGTGACAGTGGTGAGGATGACGATGATGACGATGAAGATGACAGTGGTGAAGATGGCGATGTTGACGATGAAGAGGATGGTGTCGAAGATGACGATGATGACGATGAAGATGACAACGGGGAAGATGCAAGTGATGACGATGAAGACGACAGTGGCGAAGACGACGACGATGGCAATGAAGGTGACAGTGGTGAAGATGATGATAGTGACGATGAAGATGACAGTGGTGAAGATGATGATGATGACAATGAAGATGACAGTGGCGAAGATGACGATGATGGCGATGAAGGAGACAGTGGTGAAGATGACGATGATGACGATGACAGTGGCGAAGATGACGATGATGACGATGAAGACAGTGGCGAGGGTGATGATGATGACGATGATGACGATAAAGACGAAAACGGCGAAGATGATGATAACGATGATGAAGATGGAGATGAAAGTGCCGAAGACGACGACGATGGTGATGAAGGTGACAGTGGTGAGGATGACGATGATGACGATGAAGATGACAGTGGTGAAGATGGCGATGTTGACGATGAAGAGGATGGTGTCGAAGATGACGATGATGACGATGAAGATGACAACGGGGAAGATGCAAGTGATGACGATGAAGACGACAGTGGCGAAGACGACGACGATGGCAATGAAGGTGACAGTGGTGAAGATGATGATAGTGACGATGAAGATGACAGTGGTGAAGATGATGATGATGACAATGAAGATGACAGTGGCGAAGATGACGATGATGGCGATGAAGGAGACAGTGGTGAAGATGACGATGATGACGATGACAGTGGCGAAGATGACGATGATGACGATGAAGACAGTGGCGAGGGTGATGATGATGACGATGATGACGATAAAGACGAAAACGGCGAAGATGATGATAACGATGATGAAGATGGAGATGAAAGTGCCGAAGACGACGACGATGGTGATGAAGGTGACAGTGGTGAGGATGACGATGATGACGATGAAGATGACAGTGGTGAAGATGGCGATGTTGACGATGAAGAGGATGGTGTCGAAGATGACGATGATGACGATGAAGATGACAACGGGGAAGATGCAAGTGATGACGATGAAGACGACAGTGGCGAAGACGACGACGATGGCAATGAAGGTGACAGTGGTGAAGATGATGATAGTGACGATGAAGATGACAGTGGTGAAGATGATGATGATGACAATGAAGATGACAGTGGCGAAGATGACGATGATGGCGATGAAGGAGACAGTGGTGAAGATGACGATGATGACGATGACAGTGGCGAAGATGACGATGATGACGATGAAGACAGTGGCGAGGGTGATGATGATGACGATGATGACGATAAAGACGAAAACGGCGAAGATGATGATAACGATGATGAAGATGGAGATGAAAGTGCCGAAGACGACGACGATGGTGATGAAGGTGACAGTGGTGAGGATGACGATGATGACGATGAAGATGACAGTGGTGAAGATGGCGATGTTGACGATGAAGAGGATGGTGTCGAAGATGACGATGATGATGATGAAGATGACAACAGGGAAGATGCAAGTGATGACGATGAAAACGACAGTGGCGAAGATGAGGATGATGACGTTGAAGGTGACAGTAGTGAAGATGACGATGATGACGATGGAGATGACGGTGGCGACAATAATGACGATGAGGATGTAGATGACAGCGGGGAAGATGGCGTTGATGACGATGAAGACGAAAGTGGGGAAGATGATGATGATGACAACGAAGATGACAGTGGTGAGAATGACAACGATGACGATGGAGAGGACGATGATGGCGGTGAAGATGACAGTGGAGAAGAAAGCAATGATGACGGTGAAGATGATAGTAGTGAAGACGACGATGATGTTGATGCTGATGATGACAGTGGTGAAGACGACGATGATGACGATGACGAAGACAGTGGAGAAGATGATGATGATAATGATGGCGATGGAGATGACAGTGGGGAAGATAAAGATGGTGAAGATGGTGATGACGGTGGGGAAGACGTCGATGATGAAAGTGGTGAAGATGACGATGACGATGACGATGATGATGATGATGATAATGACAGTGGAGAAAACGAAGATGACGATGTTGACGATGGAGATGATAGCGGCGAAAACGATGATGACGATGAAGATGACAGTGGTGAAGACGACGATGACGTCGTTGATGATGACAGTGGCGAAGACGACGATGACGACGACAATGGCGAAGATGATGATGATGATGATGACGAAGGCGACGACAGTGGCGAAGATGATGATGATGATGATGATGACGACGACGGAGATGACAGTGGCGAAGATGAAGATGATGACGATGGAGAAGACAGTGGTGACGACGACGATGACGACGGAGATGACAGCAGCGAAGACAACGATGATGAAGGCGAAGACGAAGATGACATTGGCGAGGTCGACGATGATATTGATGAAGATGAGAGTGACGAAGACGACAGTGATGACGATGAAGTTGACAGTGGCGAAGACAACGATGATGACGATGGAGACGATAGTGGCGAAGACGAAGATGGTGAAGATGAAGATGATAGTGTTGAAGATGACGGTGATGACGATAAAGATGACGATGGGGACGACAGTGGTGAAGATGCCGATAATGACGTAGGAGATGATAGCGGCGAAGATAGCGATGACGGTGATGGCGACGACAGTGCCGTAGATAGTGATGATGACGATGAAGATGATAGTAACGAAGACGACGCCGATGACGACGAAGATGACGGTGCTGTAGACAGCGACGATGACGATGAAGATGACAGTGGCGAAGACAGCGACGATGACGATGGAGATGATAGTGGCGAAGATAGCGAAGACGTTGATGATGATGAAGATGATGAAGATGGTAATGACAGTGGCGAAGAAAGCGATGATGATGATGATGATGATGATGATGCTGATGCTGATGCTGATGGAGAGGACAAAGCCGACGACAGTGATGATTCCGAAGTTGGTGAGACAGATAAGGAGGACGATAATGAGATCGATGAATCGAATGACGATGGATACGCTGAAAATGACCTGAGAACTATTAAAGAGATGATCACAGATGTGTTAAGAAATAGAGGCGACGATCATGTTACTGATGATGACAAGATAGACGACTTGGTTAAGGAAGCCAGGGCGCAGGGACTTGTATCCTCCAGTTTTTCTGTTGCTGATGGAAGCATTCTTTCCAGAGTGTTAAGTTTAGTTACGTGCCTTATAATATTTTTATTATGAATCTGCTAAAATAATTATCACCGCGATGCGCGATACACTTTTCTGCCATAGACACTTGTAGTTTATAGAACAAAATTCAAAGGAACAACTAGCGGAAAGAGATGAAAAGTCGTATGAAACTCAAGTATCTGTCTTTGTAATCGAAGAAAGTGTATCTAATTAAACATAGCTTTGAAAAGCCTTTCCAAAACGACAATAATCACTTTAGATTTGCCATGTTTGTAAATAGATGTGAATAGTGAGTTATCGTTTGTCCCTTGTGCTTACCGTGTTTTCCACACGACGCTTTACTTAACTTAGAATTTGTGAAATGCAAATTCGTTATATTTATTCTACTATTTATATTAAATACCTGTCGAAATTAAAGAGGGTTCTCTTTGAAGTAGATGTCTCCATAATTTATGTTGGGGAACATCAGGTAATACGCGTTTCTAGTCCACTCAAATCTACTTCATTGATTCAACGCACGAGTCAAGAACAAATTGAGTGCACTATTTGTCACGTAAGTGAAACTTGATCACTTGGCGTGCAGTGAAAGGTCTCCAATTTGATTTTGCACCGAGTGAAATTCAGTCCAGTGATTCTAAGACTGTCGTAGCCAGCGTTCATCCTCCGTAAAAAAATGGCCTCGGAACAAAGGCGAAGAAAATTTATGTCGATTTAATTGTACCTACAAACTTCCCTATTTTTGAAATGTCAATATGCAAGAATTTGGCCTGAGAAATTGTTGGATGTAAGTGAAGGGGCTGGCATGAATCACGTGAACAAAGTGCCTTATCCGTATGAAACTTGAGGTACCAATTTATGCAGGTTATTTACAGATTGAGGCTAGAGTTTGTTAGTGTCACGGACTTATAATAGCTTGTTTATCTAATCGAAGGCTGAAGGCCGAATCAACTACTGGGACTTTTACTCCACAGAACTCGAGTGCGAATATCTTTTTTTTTTCTTTTTTTTTTTTTAATGCGTACTAATAGAATCCTATCCAATTTTTGCCTTTTTTTTTCTTTTTTGCAAACATCGATTTCTAATTGTTTGTTTGCATATTTTGTTTTAAGCAGTATTTCTTCATGGCTTAGCAAAATTGCTCACTGACTACTCGGGCTTCTGTAGGAAAATCCGAGTCATAAAAAGAGGGCCGTTTTGTCTTGGTCGCCAAAATGAGGGCTCATGGTCCCAGGTGTTCTTAGCGTAGAGCGTGAAAAGCGATAGCTTGCTTTATCGTCTGCCAGCTCTCCGTGAACACCTTAAGTCGCAGTATGCTGTGTTTGTAAATAAAGTTTTGGAAAGAATCACACCCGCGTTCATCTCACATATAAAGATGTTGATCGTTTTCGGGTACGAATTATGTTGCTTGAAGCCTGCCAAATAAGCAAAGTTCAGGCCCGTTCTCACGAGATAACAAATGAGCAATATACGAGTTTAAACTACGAAAACACTGACAAAAGCCTATGATTACTGACTTAAAAACAAACTATGATGCTGAGATAAACACCCTAGATGTAAATAAAATCAAGAATGGTCGTAAACAGAACCTCGAAGATGAGGCAAACAACAAGCAACTGGACAAAGAGGATGCTCATGGAAGCAACTTAAATAGTAATTATATCTTAACGTAACTCTTCTGTTAAAATATCCTGATTTTTTCGTTTGTTTTTACTGTGTTCAATAAGCTCACTTGTGAAGTGCAACTTGATATTGCGGTACAAAGATGTTAGGAGGCCCGAGAAAACGCTCTTAGACCGTCTTCTTGAGTTTTTTTTTTTAAATCTTGTAGGTGTTTTAAAAGCGCTTATCAGTTCATTGAAAAATTTGAGGTTTTAAGAGGGAATGTCCACTAAGACCGAGACCAATCGAAAATATGTGATACATGATGAAAAATCAAAATTCTTCGCCTAGAAACCTGGTCGGGGATTTTTTTCTTGAAATAGTGTTTTAAACCCACTAAAAAATCGCAAATTAGTTACGACCCCAGGTTTGGTGAAAAAAAAAGCGCAACATTTAGTGACTCATATCTTATCAAAAACTTCGCTCTGTTCAATCTGCATCACAATAAGACTCCAGTCTGAGCCTGCAAATTTATTGTTGACGACGAGCCGCTTAAAATCACTGAAATTTGTTTCCTCAGAATTCTTAATTATGCAAATTTTTCAAGCGGCAAATTCGCTACCCGGTAAAACACCGAACAACCTAAAATTCCGACATGTCGAAAGAGGATATGTCATTGTAAAACCTGGTATAAAAATTATTTTCGGGCTTTTGATCAGCCCTGAATACTAACGCTCACAAAATCGTGATAATCCAAACACTAACCTGTTAGAAACGAAAAAATAGGCCACTGACCAGATAATCAAAAGGAAAGTGAAAATGTCTTCTTGCATTTGATTTCCTTCTTGTATCTGGACTTAAACTATGGCTTAAAGTCATGTTTAACTCACCTTCTGTAGAATATTACATTCAAATATCAAGCGAAATGCTTAGTGATTACAGAAGATGAGCTAACCACGACTTTGAATAAGTCACCTCGAGCTCTAGCCGAGATATGAAAAAAAAAAAAAAGAAAGAAAGAAAGAAAAAAAAAATGGATTTTTCATCATGTGCCATGACTAGCGTTGTGTTAGTGGGCATTTCCTCTCAAGTGGAATAACGGTTAATTTTCTTTCTTTAGTGTTCTTGGGAATTGAATTATCGAGTAACATTTGTAAATATAAAGAAAAAGTCGCCGTTACAAAGAATGACCCCCAGCCATTGCACGCAGTTATGTCTGATGGAGGACGATAGCTCAGCCAATCAGATTATATAAGCTCTCCACTTGATTTGATTTAATTAAATGTCTATGACTCTGAAATAGAATAGGCCCGAAATATTCTAAAATTTTCCTAATTGTAACAAACCGACATTTGATTTCAACGTACAAGGTTAACAATCCTACCAATCCCTGCAATTCCCCGTCAGACTTTTGAGTTAATTAATATATTTTTTGCCTTTCACCGGTATCCTTTTCCTTTCCTTTCTTAAAACTTTCTTAACGTGAAATGCTTTCGTCGCTTTGCTCCGCAGATTTTGCGTCCGGGACTGAGTCTGTTCTTTTACTCTTTCAGTCGCTGTGATTAGTTTGTCGCGTCATCTCATGAATTTGATCAGAACAAGCAACTTGATCAGCAAAGTACAATAAAGTTTGTTCTCATGCATTGACAGGCTTTTTCCACAGTTATTTCATAAAAGCAATAGACCACTCTTTCTATGGGTTTATCGGCGCAATAAACCACTTGGAATGCTGGGAGAACATTCGAAAATCTTGTAAATCACGAGCCGTTAGGTGAGTGATTTACAAGCTTTTCTCGTCCTTTCCCAACATCCCGCGAGGTTTATTGCGCCAGTAAACCTATAGAAAGAGTGTTCTATTACTTAGATATAACTATAGTTTTCCCGATATTGTATTTTGGGAAATAAAGCTATTGTTGCTACTTTAGACAGCATCGTATCTGTGTTTTTGATTACGGATTCTTCTAGACTGATGATTCTTTGAAACTGAAATGAGTTTCAAAAAGCTTTCAAGCCCATTGCAACTGCATTGTTTTATTAGATTCAATAAGCAGCAACATTTTTCTTATATCTGCTAACAAGGAACTGGTACCACGCAACTAAGTCAATCAAGCTCAAATTGGAAAGACGTTTAATCTTGTTTGAAATGACACTGACAATGACAATGACAACGACAACGACAGTGACAG